TCCCTTCCGACCCTAGAAACTATGAAACTATGAAACTGACCTTCTGCTGTGGGATAGCCTCGTCCTAGCTCTGCTCCCCGATGGGATCAGCACAGCATTGCACTTGGTGCAGTGGGGGTTTGCCCCATGACATTAGTGTTCATTTTTTTTGCCCATTTGATCAGGCAACTCAGATAAAGCAATGGGCTCAAGCTGCAGCAAGGGGAGTTTAGACTGGATATTAGGAAAAAATCTTTCTCCTGAGGAGGGTGGTGAAGCACTGGAAGAGGCTCCCCGCAGAGGTGGTGCAGTCTCCATCCTTGGAGGTGCTGAAGGCCCAGGTAGATGAAGCCTTGGCTGGGATGATGTAGTTGGGGCTGGTCCTGCTTGAGGTGTGACCTCCGGAGGTACATTTTTCATTCCCCTCCACTGGACTGTCTCTATTTTGTCCATGTCCTTCCCACCGCAGGATGCAAACTATCCTAGACAAGTGTTTGTTTCATGCTTTCTTAACACTACACAAATCTACTGCAGGCACATTGCCTCAAAACACCAAGACTGCCCTGAGCTGGTGCAGGTAAAGCAAGGGGACTTGTGTTCCCGTGTCTCTGAATGTCATGCTCACTCACTGTAAGCTTCCCGGCCTCCCCGAAATCAGATCAGATCCAGCATGGGCAAGATCCCATAAGTGGAAGGAAGTGCCTAAGTGTGATCTATTCCACCCTATGCAAGTCCCCGAAAAAAATGAATGTGCTCACTGCTTTTCTGTGACTCCGCGTTAAGGGTCAGATATCAGCGGGCTCCAAGAGCAGACGAATCCCTGGATTTTCAGGGTCTTGGGCATGGCAGAAGAGAATCAGATTGAGGTGTCCAAGTCCTCTTAGATGGCCAGTAGTTATGACAGTATCAGACCCCTTGGAAGTAAACCTGGGCCACGATCCTACAACACGTGCGTTGCTTCTTGGTGATGTTGTTCCTGGCAGGTTGCATTCAGATGGATCTCAACCACATGCCCAAGCCTGCTAAGACAGCTGAGAAGTGCTCCCTAGACCTGCTGGATGAAACCTTGTCCTCGGACCGGTTCGTGTCGCTCTTTGAGCAGAAGACGGTCAAGGGCTGGTGGCCTTGCGTTGCAGAAGAGGGCGAGAAGAAGGTCCTCGCGGTAAGTCCTGTTGGGCTCAGCTTTGCTCTGATCTCCAGCTTAGAGATGGGAACCGTGGACCCAGAGAGGCTATGGGTTGACTCCTGTTTCACTCCTACATGGCATACATGCCTCCACTGACCGCATCTTGTGGCATTTATGGAGTTTTCTTTGGGGTTGCATCCTCACTAGGGCTGTCCGCATCAACATCTGCTCCTCCAGGTACACACACAAGGCCGGGCAGGTCCCGAAATTGTAGCTCATGAGGCCAGGACGCTCATATGTGCTGTCCCAGTAGCTGGGGCACATGCCCAAGAAACAGGAAACACAGACTCTAGGCTTCCCCCGGCATCTGCTGCTTTTTAGCAGTGATCTTGTTGCCAGGCCACAGGCTAGACATTATCCAAGCCTCTCCAGCCTTCCCCTTGAAGCTGGCCCCCTGGGCAGCCAAGAGACAGGGATATTGGGCTGCCAGAGTGGGAGCGTTGCCCGCAGATGGAGAGCAGTGATCTTTCCCCTCTATTCAGCACTGGGGAGGCCACATCTGGAGTCCGGTGTCCAGCTGTGGGCCCCCCGCTACAGAAAGGATGTGGACACATTGGAGAACTGGCAATGAAAATGGTTTGGGGCTGGGACACATGACTTGTAGGGAGAGGCAGAGGGACCTTGCTTTCAGTGGGGCAGAGACTTCTCTCCAGTATTGCCCTCTATCCTGCGTATCTGATGAAAGCTGCAGTGGCTCAGCTATAAGGGGAAGGCTGGAGAAAGTGAAAAGGAGCCCAAGCCTGTGGGGAAATGCCCAGACTGAAGGTTGGTAGGTGGCTGTGTAATGGCTAATTAGGCAGGTAAAGTGCGACAGCTTGCTGTCCTGAGTGACTTGACCAGGGCTGTGGGGTAAATCGGTGTCAGAGCAGGGCATTGAAGTGAGTGTTCCCAAATCCTAGGCAGACACCCTAATGACTAAGCCACCCCTCTCTCCCCTCCCAAAGAGTTTTCCCACCTATGTCACAAAATCGGTCAAACAGTTCAGAGTGCCTCATTGATTTTAATGGATTTTTGCTTCTTTTTCTAACTTATTCCCTAGTTTGGCCACTTCCCATTTATTAGTATCATTCATCATTAGGCCTGAACTTGGAGCTGCACCTCCTCGAGCTAGGGTGGTAAAAACAAAGCAGAAAACAGATTCTCCCTGGCCTGAAGGCTTTTAAATCCAAGCTGTCTGCTCAGTTTCCCCTTTGAAATGATCTGAGAGATGCACTGAGGGAGTGAGACTTAGTCTGTAGCTCCAATTTGAGGGTTTTTTTTTAATGTTTCGATAATCTGGATTATTCCAGCTGATTGTTGGCATCACATGTTAAAGCTTGCTTCTGCCCTTGAATGGGGGAGCAGCTAAAATCCAGGGAACGGGCTTGATTCTCTGTTTAAAACCAGCTTTTTGTGAATATTTTCCATTAATGGTTTAAATTCCCTCGTTTTGTCAGACCTTTTATTTCCTTTCAGAGAAACACACACAGATGGGCCCAGGGGTATGGATGTGGCTTAGGGTGTTACGGGGCAACAGGATGGCACCTCCCAGCCCAAATGGCTCTACACACGAACAGTAGCATGTAGAAATGGGCAAGTTAGACATGACCCCTTGAAATCATAAACTCACAGAGAAGTGGGGCTGCAAAAGTCACATCTAGTGCAATCAGTCCTGTCCAAACCATCCCAGACAAGTCCATCATTTAACCTCTTAGTAAAACCCCTGTCAACCCTGATTCAACGCAAGACCTCCCACCTCAACCTGCCCTAGGTAAAGCAGGCAGCAGGCAACGTCCTGCTGCTGTTAAAGGTGCAAACACAAATGCAGTTGCGTCGACGTAAATGGGAAATTTTGTTTTGTCTACACACACCCTGTATGTTCAAGAGATCCCAGGAACAGGAAGGCAGCCCCCCACTCCATATCAAACCAGCCTGGTTTTCTGGCTTTGACTGTGGCTGGTGCCAGGTCAGTCAAAGGAAAATGCAGAATACCCACAGCTGCCTGCTAGGGGTCATTTGCCTCCCATGAAGGTCCCATCTTGACTCCTTACCTGAGACTGGGTCAAGCTTGGAAGCCCTTTCCCAAGTCAGCGTCTCCCACTGAGGATCCTAGCCCCTGTCCATTCCCCGCTGCTTTTTTCCATGCAGGGCAAACTGGAAATGACTTTGGAGATTGTGGCAGAGCAGGAGCATGAAGAGAGGCCCGCAGGGATGGGCCGAGATGAGCCCAACATGAACCCCAAGCTGGAAGACCCCAAGTAAGAGACTGGCAAACCTAAATGGAGCGCAGGACACTAAAGCCAGGGGCTGGGCATTCAGATTGCTGCCCCGAAGGCTTCAGCATCATGCATGTTATACTTGCATGCACCTCCGCAGTCCTGGGGCTCAGCCAGCCTGGTCCACCCAGATATGCTGGGGCTGGCGGCAGGGCTCAGCCTCATGGACCTGCAGGGGCTGGGTCCACCCCGATGGACCTGGGCTCTGACGACATGTCTCATGTGGCCATGTCTAGCAGGGCCAGGGTTGAACATCCCTCCGGTTCCCCTGGTGCCTACCCTCACCTTCCGGGGTCAGCGGGGCAGGTGCATGCGGTCCTTCTCCGACATCCCTGGCACGCCCGCCAGCAGCAAATTGGCTTGTACCAGAGGTCACCACAACTCTTGATTGCAGGCGGCCAGAGACCTCCTTCCTGTGGTTCACCTCCCCCTACAAAACCATCAAGTTCATCCTGTGGCGGCGGTACAAGTGGGTCTTCCTCGTCATCTTCGTGCTCTTCATCTTGCTGCTCTTCCTCGGGATCTTCATCTACGCTTTCCCGGTACGGTCTTCTGGGAGGGAAGGGGAAGGGCTGGGGGTCCCCCAGGCAGCGAGGACCACGGGCTGACCTTGGGGTTAAAAAATCCCTTTTTGACCCCAATGCAGTGTTGGTCTGAGCCAAGACCCGCTGATTTTGAACCCCAGCATGAGCGTTTGCAGAGCCCAGTCCCCATCCCAAACCAGTACTAGGGCTGCCCCAGGGATAGCATTGGTGGGAGATTCCCTGGGCCTCATTGACTGTCTCTGCTACTGACTCTCTATGGCCCTTAGCCAAGTCACATGTCTTTCTTTTGCCCCCATTTCCCGTATATGGAAAATGGAGTGAGGTCCTTACGTCCCAGAGGAGGCTGTGAGAGCCTGCGGATGGTTGCCAAAGGGCTTTAAGATCCCAAAGAGGAAGATACTCCAGATTGTATGCTGCCTGGAGCAGAAACACAGCTTTTCTACAGCAGTAAATGGACGTGCATCCATGAATGGTTAAGCTGCAGGCTGGGTGGAAATCCCACCTCATGAATTAGCCCTGCCTGCCCTTGCTCTCGGTGCCGTTTGCAAACCAAATTAAGAAGTTACCGGCCCCTCCAGCTTGGCTGGGATGATTTTCAGATCCTATTTGGGCTTCAGTGCATTGCAATACCATATTGACTCATGTACCACACACACACCTTTTCCCCACAAAAAATCAGCCCTCCAAAAATGGGGGGGCTGGTCTGAAGCAGGATGGGCTGATTTTTGTGGGGGGCGGGAATAGAAGCAAACAAGGACACACTGCTGCAAGATGACTGCCACACTTCTCTCTGCCCGCCTCAGGGAGGGAGGGGGCAGACGGCGGTGGATTGAGAGGCATGCACCCCCCTCTGATCCCTGCTCCAAACTTTTGACCTTTTTCTTCAGGCAGCATCAGAGGAGTCATTTGACTTCATGTCTCACTATCCTCTCCCTGGTTCCTGCTAATCTGTCCACACTGCACAGGTTGAACGACACTCTCCTTTTTAATGGTCTTGATGTTCCACTAGTCAAACCATCCTTTCTTTTGCAATGGTGCTGTTAGCCACTCCTGGGAATATATCATTTGTTTTTTCATAGTCCTACGGACTTTTTATAGCTCTAGCTAAAAACCTTAACTCAGGTGTGGTCGTATGAACTCAGGTGTAGAAATGACTGGCAGTGAAGTATTGGAGGCACTGGCAAGAAGGATAGATTTTATGGATTCATAAAATTCATTCATAGATGTTATGAATAAGAGACGTGCATTTAACTGTAATGACACAATATCTTTGGACTATTTTGTCTCTTTTTTTTTTTTTTTTTTTTTTTTTTTTTTTTTGCCTAGTTTGTTGTTGTGCTTTTTTAAAAAACTTCATACTCTAGTAAATCAGTGCACGTTCTAATAGTGCTATTTGTTTTGGGTCTGATCTTAAACTGAATACTATGGTGCCAGCCCCCTAGCCTATTAGTAAGGCATCTAGTGTCTCTTTAACTGGACAAGAAGATGTACTGATGTGCCGCATGGTTTGCACCCCCCTTCTCCAAATCCTGGATCTGCCCCACGGGGGCAGAGTTCACCCTTCAGGGTTAGAGCCACTGCAGTCAGGAGTCAGCCACGACTGGAACTGTCTTTTCTCATTCATTTTGCCTTCCCCAGACAAGGTGCGTGTCTTATTTGGGGGCATGTGGTATGTGAGAAGATACGGTAATTCGTGCTAGGCTTTGGAGCCCTTCCCCCCTCCCAGACTGATAAGAAGAACAACTTGCCTTCCTCCCCTGCCGTACTTGACAAATGCTGTGCCTTGCACAAGGGACATTCCTGTTTGAGGGGTAATTTATACCTTGGAAGGCAGGAGAGGCTGCATTTGCAAGTGGTTTTGCTTTGCTGCCCATGTGCAGTGGACCAGGGAAGGATGACAAGGGTCCTGGCACAGCTAACGTTTTCTAGTGATTTAAGACCAGGCACGCTTGATGGCTTCTGGAGCTATAGGGGCAATAGGGGATTAAGTCCAGGGAGATCCAAGATCTCAAGTCACGATGCCTGCATGCATCTCAGCTCCCCCGTCTTTTGATCAGGGAAATCATTTTCTCCCCTGATGATCCCTTAATGAGCTCAGGAGCATTAAAACAGATAATTGAGTGTGCCATCTGATGCTGGGCAGCAGCAGCGAGGCCAAATTGTGTTCATGCGCCCGGTAGTGCAACCCGTACACAGAGATTTGCCTTCAGCCCACGTGGCAGGGGCCTGTTTCCCCAACCAGGGACTCTCAGTTCCATTCCTGGTGTCTTGGGGAAAATTCAAGTGGCTTAGTAGCTATGACAGGCTCCTTGTATTACCACTGAGTCCAGGGAAAACAAAACCCCTTTTAAACTATAAATATCCATTTACACTCCCTGTGACTTGTGTTTTTCTCTGACTTTTTCCTAGCAAAATGTTGTTACAATTCATTTTGCTCTGGTTAGACTTAGTCATCTTTCTAAAAAAAACACAAACCCGAGGCCGTGTTACATGGAATCTGTCTGTTTTCATTTCTTTGGATGGCTTCTCCCAAATAGTTGAGGGCACTGGGCTGTATTTTCACTCTGATATTGGGTTCCTTTGCTAAGCATTAACCTTTTGCAACACAATGGCAAAAATAGGGTTCTTACATGCAAAGGAGTCTCCTGACATACAGATCTTTGGCCAGGAGCATGGCTGTATCTGAGAACATGAACTCTAAAGGATAACCCCCTATTAACCCTATTAATATAGGGGTCCCAGGGAACATCAGGTCCCCTCCAGGATGGTAGGTGCTGTACATTTATTTGCTAAGAGACAGCCCCTGCTGTGAAAAGCTCAGCTATATGTTGTCAGCTTTGGGGTGAGCGGGTATCAGGGGATGGCGTGACTGCCCATATGGGTAAATAGGGGAAGGTGACATCAGGTAATGGGTGGGAAGTGTTGGAGGAGTCTGAATTGGAGGATAGCAGGAGAATGCAGGTTCATGAGATCATCACCTGGGGCTGCTGCCCTGGTCAACCTGCGGTAGTTACTCCTGGGGTGCCTGTACACGCCACAGGTTTTAAGCCTCATTAAATTAAATAGGTTTATAAAATGTAAACTTGTTTATTTTGGAGCGTCGCATGTGTGTTTACACACACTAGGTTTTCAGACAAATTAAGCCAGGTCCCTGGCTGGAGAGCGGGATGGTCCAGTGCTGCCTCCTGACCCAGGGCTCCCCACTCACCCTGTGCCCATGTCTTGCCATGCAACTCCGGAAGCAGGGAGCCAGCAAAGCACACAAGGAAAAAAAAAGCAGAAACAATTTGCAAGCGAAAGCAAAAAAGTCGTAGCACCATCTGTTGGACAAAGAGGCTCATTACACCTCTTTGAGTGCCTGTGTTTGCACACAATGAATCCATGGATGTGACGCTTTAATTCCCAGTGATCCAAACTAAACTACACCCAAAGAGTTTTATTTTAATGTACAAGAAACACTTTTAAAGCACTGGGAAGTCCCGTTTGTGCAAACAGACATGCAGCTGCAGCACATGAAAGGGAAAAAATCGTGGCGTGTACATGGGCCCTTGGATACCACTTGTCCTTAAATGTCACCCCCAAAGCCTTGAGTTGAGCCCAGCAATGGTGTTTGTAAAGTGTTAAGGCATCCAGCCTTGGGTTTGAATCCATCCCTTCCCTGGGTGTTTTGTTCCAAGTGATTAATCGTCTCTACCCACTCCCACCAGTAAAAAACGTCTGCCTAATTTCTCATGTGACTCTCCCTGGCTTCAGCTTCTAGCTGTGGATCTTTGCTTTACCTTTCTCCTCTGGGTGAAAGAGCCCAGCTGTCATGCCCACTCTTTCCTCCCTGCAGAGGGACTTATACAGTCAGCACCTCTTGCTCTTCACCTTACAGAACGAGCTCTCTTTGGAAGATGTGTTCTCCAGCCCGCAGCTCGTTCTCAGGAGTCGTTTTGGCAGCATCTCTCATTATGCAACTTCTTAAAGCAGAACAGAATACAGCAATCCCTTCACCTTCTGTTCCCATTGCACAGGGAGCCCTACACCCCAGTCCTTTCTATCTGACAGCCTCCTGCTGGGTCAAAAAGTCCTGCCCCCACCTCCCAAACAAAGATTGGGAACTGAGACCCAGGGAGGTGAAGGCGCCAGCTCAGCTGCAGCACTGGTGATAAAGAGCTGGGTGATGATGTGCACTGCTGATTTGGAGCTAAGTGACTTGCCTGAGGTGACAGTGAATTTGTGGTAGAGGACTGAGAGCCCATCACTCAGCACCTCCAGGTGACTGTGTCATGAAGGCCTTTACTCATGGAGGAAAACTACTTTTCCATGGACGGGTTAATGGAATAGACATCGGCCAGCTGCCCATACACAGGATGGGGCAGCAAATTAGGTTTACTTTGCACATTTGGGGACCAGAACATGGCAGTCAGCTGGCTCCCATTCCCAACAGCATGCCCGATGGAGATAGATTTGGAGGTAGAAACTCTGTGACATGGTCACTGTTGGGTGTGCTTGGTGGGCTGGATAAAATCTCTGCAGGCCAGACCTGCCCCTGATCCCTCTCCACCTACAGCTTCCAGCCTTTGCAGGCCAGAAAAGGCTGAATGTGGAGCTTGCAGCTCACGCTAACCTGAGCCAGACCTCAGGAGGATTGCCAAAGTTCAAGAGAGCAGAAGCACCCTATGGACTAGCTCTGGGCAACTCTGCTCATTGTATGTGGTTTTAGATCTTCCCCCTACACTGTATAAGCCTAAGTTTATGGATTCAGGCAAGTTGAAGCCTGTCATTGTGGGATCTAGGTAGGAGGCCTCAGCTCCTGCTTTGCAGAATTAGGCATCTAAGTATCCACCTGCCTGAAGTCACGAAGCAAGCCTGGGATGGTGCAAAGAGCTCCTCTCAGGGGCAGTGTGCAGACAGTGCTTTTTTTGGTTGCACTTGAAAAAATCCCTTTGCACTTTGACTCGGCGTCACTTTGTGATTCCAGAACTGCTGCCTTTTCCATGAAGGTTTCTATTTTTGCCATGGCCCGTTTTCCTCTGGAAGCATGCGAAACGTCTCAGTTTCGGGGGCTTTCACGCGGACTTCGGTCGCTGGCAGATCGTTGGAGCCGTTTACATTTGTTGACATTTTTCAGTCTGTGATGATGAGACTGTTTCCATTGGGGGTGGAGGGGAGGGAAAATAACCGTGTCCTGGTTTGGAGTGGAAAACAGCAAGGTTTTGCCGAGTCTAGTTTGGCTAAAGTGGGAGCTGAACATTGGATACTCCAAGGTCTGAAATGTCAGCGCTGCCTTCCACGCCGCCCTCCTTTTCAGCTTCTCAGCTGCCTGGCAAGCTTTTTGTATCCAGTCCACATCATTGCAAGCTCTGCCATTCTCTTTGCGCTTCAGGACTCGCACAGAATAGCTCCTAGGCAATTTCCTTCTCTATCCTCTATATTTAACCTGACAGTTAGAGGGCTTTTTGATCAGCAGGCAAAGAGCATCGCTGGATCTTGGAGGTGGAAGCTGAAGCTTGGAGAATCCCAGTGGGATATAATGAGAAGCCTGTTGTTGACAGCGAGGGTAATTGGGCGTGAGAAAAGCTTACTGTGCAACGTGGCGAATTCATCACTGCTCGGCATCTCTGGATGGAGACTGGGCGTCTTTTGAAAAGATATGCTCTAGTTGCACCACCAGTTCCAGGGCCTGGCCCTATGCACTGATCGGATGCCCAGCGTGGCAAATGGGAAGGTGCTCGGTCCCCTTCGGTGGCTATGATCTTGATAGACTAGGGCACATTCTTGCTTTGCAAAGCAGGGCTCTTGTGCAAGTCTCATGCCTGCATTATTCAAGCCAAGCCAAGGGGTCACATTGACACCTTTGACCTCCTAAATCTGCAGGTGGGGATCATCACTGACATGGGATGCAACAAGTAGCGTCTGGGTGGTGGTGGGCACCCCATGACGAAGCCACGGCCTCCGTCCAGCCAGAATCTGCCGTGTTTTCCAGTAATTTGCAGATATTTACTCCCCTTGAAAGCCTGTTTGTTTCACCCGAGTCTCCCTCCGCTTCCCTCGCTATTCATCGCCATTACTGCCCGCTCTCTGCGCTGATTGATTATTCCTGCTTGCCTTTCGTCACTTCGTTAATAGAAATTCATAGCCGGGACAGGAAACCTGCTATCTTCCTGAATGGGACCAATCGCAGCATAAAAATAATCATATTTTGGAGGACAGACCCTGAAAGACAAATGGCGGGTAATTCATTAGGAGGTTATATTCCACCGGAGGCTTTTTCTAATGACTATTGGTAAATTGCTTTCGTTTTCCTTGCCTGATTTATGGCATTATTAGAAAACCCCAATTGGCAAATTGTTTCATAATCCACCACACGTTGTAATTTATCACGATGCCTTTGGTCAAACTTTTTTGCAGAAGAGCTTGTGACTTGCCTTTTGCTTTGCTGCCAACATTGGTTTTTAAAGTGACGCAGTGCGAGAACATCCCGTACCAATTCAACTCCAAACGCACGGACGAAACCTCCAATTTGGCGAGGGCGCGCGTCTGTCCGCGTGCAAATCGAAGCTAGCTTAGATCTAGCTCCTTAAAAAGGATGTTACCGTGCCGCTGAACGCAACGGCACCACACTCTCGACGAGCAGCGTCTGCTTGTGGTATCGCTGGCTCTGGGAAAGGAGGGGGTGCGATGCGATATGCATTATGTTTGCCTTGAACCTTCCTCTCTCTGCATCTCATGCCACTTTGTGCAGATTAAATTAAACGTTATCCTCTCTCAAGGAGAGCAGGGCGAGGGAGACCAAGAGGTGAATTGGGGCCTGTTTGAGGGCAGGGAGATCTCCAGGTGTCAGCAGCGCCCTGAGTATCCTTGGGAGGGAGGAGATGGGAGAAAGGGAGATGGAAGAAGAAGCCATGGGGTAATTCTTAGGGGTGAGCACACATCCGTGTGGCATCCGATCTGCTCACCCATGCCACCTACACCCCGTACCGCTGCTAGTTAGAGACGATTCTCTTATAGCTCGTGTTTCTTGTAGGAGACTGAGGAGCTGAGGTCCATCTCCAGTCCCACCACTGTTTGGAAAGAGCATCCTCAGACATAGGAGGATACCGCTCCCGTCTGCGGTACCTTCCCCATCTTACGGGTTTCCTTGTCCTTTCCTTCCCCTCCAGAACTACGCTGCTATGAAACTGGTGAAGCCTTTCAGCTGAATCTGTGCCGGGGACCGGTGGGAGCGTTGAATACCTGCTAAGATACTGCCTGTGCCTTTGGGGATGAGATGCCAGCCACGGCAGCCTCCGGAGAAGATGCCGCGTGCTGTCTCTGATGCTATCCCATTGCCAAAATGAAGATACTGCTCCCATCTGCGCAGCCCCACCTACCTTCTTCACCTCCTAAGTGGCCTGTACCCGATGCCAAAGATGGAATATTTGCTATTTCCCTTTTGGGGGCTTTCTTGGGGGTTTGTTTGTTTTTTTCAATGCTCTGTTTTGTAAAGCTCAATTATCAATGCAAAAATGGCCCTTTCTGCGGGGAATGGCTTGCACAGACTCTAGGAGGGTGCGCTGAAAACGTAGACCTGCTGCAGCTTGTAACAAAGGAGTAGGAGGTGTGAGCCCCGAGCCCGGGTGAAGTCTCGCTGTCTCCGTCTCCTGCCTCTGGGCCGTGGGGATTGGGGAGCTTTTATTACAGAGGAGGCGCGCTGGTTAAGCAAAGCCCCTGCGCACATCTCCCACCCATGGGGGCTCTTTCCGCTTAGCAGAAGGTGGTGGGATACGACCCCGAGGAGGACTGGAGCAAAACTCCCTGGGACACCAAGGAAAGCTTTGCGAGATTCGGGCTTTTTCACTCCATTTCTCTCCCTCGCACCCTTCTACCTCTTCCTGGGTGGACACGTCCCCCTGCAACTGTTCACCTCCACCGCGGCGTGGCTGTGGGGCTCGGCACGAGCGGAGCGAGCAGATAAGGCCAGGACCGCGTCTTGCGGGCGTAGGTCCTGTTCTCCCCCGGGACCTGCGCTCCGCAGCCTGAGGGCAGGTCCCCGCGGCCGCGGTCCAGCGCGCAGCGTTACAATCAGCGCCGTTCCTCTGCCGCCAGCTCGGGACCGCGGGGCGGACGCAGAACAGCAGACGCCCCCGGGGGAACTCCCTGCCGCAGGGGGTGGGATGAGGCAAAGACCTGGCCCCTTTCTTTTCCTAGCCCTTCTCTGAAAGCAGGGTGGGCCACAGATTAGCCCTACAGGTTTCCCAAGTGCCACTCCGATCCCCTTCCCCTGCCTCTTCTGCTGCTCGGCTTTCTGCTCCCTGCCCTGTGCTCCCCACTTGCCCTGCCGCTCTGCTTTCTGCTCCATGCCCTGTGATCCTTACCTGATCCACTGCTCTGCCTTCTGCTTGCTGCCTTGTGCTCCCTACTTGATTTTATCTGCTTTCTGCTCCTGTGCTTCCTATCTGCTCCGCTTTCTGCTCCCTGCCCTGTGCTAGCTGCCTGGTCTGCTGCTCTGCTTTTTTTGCTCCCTTCCCTGTGCTCCCTACCTGATCCGCTTTCCTTTAGCTCCCTGCCCAATCTGCTGCTCTGCTTTCTGACCCCTGCCCTGTGCCCCCTACCTGCTCTACTGCTCTGCTTTCTGCTCCCTGCCCTATCTGCCACTGTGTTGCCTATCCCTGATCCGTTCGGTGCCAGACACAGAAGCCGGTCGCAGCACTCGTGCCAGCCCTGTTTTAGCAGATAGGGGAACAGTGCCTACTTGGTCCCGGCTCTTGCCCTTGTGACCAGCAGATTGCATTTGCAGCGGTCAGCTCTGCCTGCTCTCCTACGTGCCGGTCAGACCAGCAGCTCCCCACCCACGTGCTGCAGGGTGTACGAGGGGGTCAGGAACAAATCGATCCCCAAATTCCCTGTGGCCAGCCAGCTGCAGTGGCTCTGTGATCTGGACCTGGACCGCGGGCCACGTGCTAGCACCCCTACCCTCGCCCACTCTCCCTTACTTTAGCAAGCAATCATCTTCCAGAATAAAGACATGAAATGAAGGCTAGCGTTGTTTTCCAATGCGACTGCGCCTCCACGCATACCTCACACAGGCTACAGCCCGGTCCTGCTGATGCGAAGATGCCCCTTGGACCCGTAGGTTTGCACACTTGGCCCCTGGTTGTCGTAGACCCGGACACGTGTGAGCAAGCAGCAGCGAGGGGCAATTAGCGAACATAATCGCTGCGGACACGGTGTCCTGCTCTCATCCCGGTCCAGCTGGGCACTTAAGCCTACGCCTGCCTCAAAGGCACTAAGTGCTTTGCTGGATCACAGCGAGAGGAATCCGGCCTGGACACCCCTGTTATTTATGATGTGTGTCGTGGCAGCACCCAGCCCGCCCCGGCCACATCCCAGACACCAGGGAAGACACAGTCCTTGCCCTGAAGAACATCCAACTATAAAAACCAGCTGGTCCGATCGGAGCTGCCTCTCTCCCCGCATCCCGTTTCCAGCCCCAGCTGCTCCAGGGACAGCCGGTGATGGAAGAAGATGCCCACGATGGATGCGTCTTCCCCACTGCGGTGAGGAGGGTTTCGCGATGCCGCTGTTCACCTCCCCAAAGGGCCCATGGCCCCTTTCGTGGGCATTTCAGTTCCCAAGCAACCCCCCACACTCATTTGCTCGTATGTCGGAGTCAAATTAAATGTAGCCTTTGCCTGGGGATAGTTGAGGTCGCTATGGATGACTTGCCCCTGGTCCTGGTAAGACAAATCCCCCCGCTGGGGTCAGCAGCCGAGAGCAGGTGAGTGAATCTGTCATACCGATTAGTGCACATGGCTGGGCAAGCCGAAACGCACCAGCCTGCATAGCTTTCCTCTCCCAAATGCTTGCACCCGTGGCGGGGCTCCCTAGCACTTGTGAGCAACCCCACCATAACCAGCTCGGTTGTACCGAGCAGATCCCACAGCAGTTAACTCTGCACGTAAGGTCCCCTCGAGCCCCCTAACATCTATAAAACTATGAGAGAAAGCACCCAGGCAGCATCGCTTTCATGTCACCCACGTCGCACCCTCCAAATCCCCACGGCTGAGGTTTGCTCTCAGAAGAGTAGCAGCTCCCGGGACCCGAAATTTTGCCAGAGGAAATCATAGGGAAATCACAGAGAAGTGGGGCTGGCAGGTCACCTCCAGTCCAACCCCTGCCTGAGGCAGGATCAGAGAAACCCATCATTTAAACTCTCTGCAAAACTACGCGGTCGCCTCTGGTGCAACACGACATCGCCCCCGAGCCTGCCCCGGGAAAGCAGGGGGACCGTGGCAGCCAACATCTTGCTCCTATAGAAGGTTGTCAACAGATGCTGGAGAGACCCCGGGAAAGGACAAGGCATCGGATGCTCCACGTAGCAGCTGAGGGAAGGGCTCGTGCCCGCTTGTCCGGCTCCAGGCGTTCCCAGCTTGCCCTGCCGTCCCGGGCTTCCCTGCCTCTGCCTCAGCTGCGGTATTGCAGACCTGGCTGCGATTTAAAATGAAACGCCCTGAAGCCTGCTGGTTCCTGCATTTTCTAGCCCCTCATCGGAGGGACAGCGCAGCCCAGATGGGTTTTGCTGTGCGGGCCTACATGCCATCAGCCCCCCAAAACACCAACAACGCTAAGATGCGCCAGGTTCAGGAGCCAGTGACCCACGCAGGATTGATGTGGGCACCACCACATGCATCCACATCCCCCCGGCTCAGCTGGTGGCCAGATACCTGCTGGGTTAGCCCAGGGGGGACCAGGTTTGCTCGCAGCATCGGTGTGGACCAGGGCTCAAACCCAGAGCAAGAGACTGTCCATGCTCTGCCCCATGGTTTTTGCCAGCATGCCTTTCTGCAGCTGCCCCTTTATATTTGGCAAGAGGGATGCTTTTCCCAGCATGCCTTGCTGCAGCTGGTCCTTTAAATTGGGCAGAAAGAAGCAGCCGCAGCCCTAATGCAGCTGTGGCCTGCTCCCTCCCTGCCTGAATGGTGAATAACTGCATCTGCTCCAGCTTCCCTGTCTCGCAGGAAGATGCTGCCAAGTCCCAGCTGCCCTGAGCAATGGGCTGGCAAAGGGGCAAGGGTCCTTCCCCAGAGCCGCTTGGGCAGGATCAGGGCCCTACAGAGGGAAACCTCATGGTGGCTTGCACTGCAATGTTACCCCCTCCCTATTACAGGTAGGGAAACTGAGGCACGGAGGTCTTGCCAATGTGCAGCTTTGTGTGCACGTGGGAGTAAACCATCCCCCTCTCCTCCCTGCACTCAATGCGTTGCATCTCCGTCACATCCGTGGTGTCGGGTGTAATTTGGGGCTGGATCCATGCACGGCAAGAGACTCCTTTCGGCTCTGAGCAGGGGCCTTGCTCCCAGCCGAGCACCCTAGCCACTAGGCCACAGCACCTCCTCTAGCTCCCCCCAGCCAGCAAGGACCACGTCTCCTCTGGGTTAGGGATGCCGCTATGAGCCCAGGCACAGCTCTGAGCATCCCTCAGCTTGCAGGGATGTGAGCTAGTTAGTCCTTCATGAAGCAAGTACTAAATTAAATGTGCAGTAAGCACTGCCCATTAATAAATGTATAGACAAGAACTAACTTGTAGGGGGTGCTGTGCTCATGTTCGCGGGTAGTGGCTCTCACCTCCCTGGCAGGCCAGCTGTGCTCTTGAATGATGCCGTGGTCCAGGGGCTCTGGGCTGCCCAGCCACGTCCACACCCCGCGTGTGCGTGACAGCCTCTGCTCTGCAGGTTTGGGCTGGAGACGGCGGAGCAATGGGGCGTGAAACCACCGGGTCTCGGTGCTCGGTGGGGATCGGCTGCCAGGGAGCTGCTTGGGCAGCGTCTCCTTGCCACGCCGGGCAGGGGAGATCTGATTTCAGGGGCTGGGTTTGCCCCAGGGGTTGGTCCGGGCTGCGCTCTGAGCTGCTACAGGTTCCTACAGTAGTGGTAGGGGCTGAGATCTGCTTTGAAGAGCCTGTTGCACTGTGCAATGGGAGGATAATAGCCTACTCCTGCAGGCCGTCACTCTTCTAACTCATGCGACCTGATCCGCATCTGTCTGCAAAACCTGCCCAGCACCCACAGGTGTGTGGCTCAGTGGACCCAAGACACCAGGGTTCATATTCCTGACCCTGCCACCGGCCTGTTGGGTTACCCTAAGTAAGTCCCTTTACTTCCCGTGCCTCAGTTTCCTCATCTGCGAAACGGGGTTGCTGTCAAAGGGAGTCAGTGACTTCCTTCTGAGATGCACTGGTGAGAGCTTGCCAGGCATAACAGGTCTTTCAGGGGCCTGCTCCGAGAGAAGTGCACGCATGTGAAATGGAGGCAGCCCCATTCTGGGAAGCATTCAGTCTATGGGTCCATGAAATGCAGCCACCTCTGGGGTGGAGCAGAGAGGGTCGGTTCCCTCCTCACCAAACGAAGACTTCGAGAGTCGTACTCCTCCGTTCCGGGAAGGGGGACCCGCGCGGCCAGGCAAACCAAACGACGTGCCTGCGGCTGCCGGCTTACCAGTTGGATGCAGACTCAGGCTGGCAAAGCCAGCTGAGGAGACAGTGAGCAGACAGGAGGGGAGGGAGTCTCATTCTCTGCCCAGCCCCTGAGACCTGATGCGGGGAGAGCAGGAATTGCGGCCTGCCTTCGAAACGTCTTTAGGATCCCAGCCCCTGCTGTGCAACCTCTGATCTCTGAGGATCCTACACATCCCTTCTGCCAGCGGTCAGCATCTCGCTGTACCCTGTGCCCCGTGTTTCACCTAGGGACCCTCGAAGCTCCCCTCTTAATTCAACATGCCTGTCCAGCACCTGCTCCCCGTTTGCAAGGACGCATCTCCTCGTCGTTCCTCCTGATCTCCCCATGTGCTCGGTGCTGCAGGCAGATAGAGGATAGCTCAGCACTGACCCAAGAAGCTTCCAGTGGGTGTGTCTATACATTCATGAATGGGCAGTACTTACTGCACATTTAATTTAGTACTTGCTTAATGAATGCACAGTAACTAGTAGCACGGGCACACGCCTTTTTAGTGACGCTGCTGCACAGTAGCTTAATAATACAGCACCGCAGCGTATTAGCACTGTCCGTGCTGTGACGTGCTGCTGCACAGTGTTATTAGGCTACTGTGCATTAAGTGTCTCTTGTAAACAGGCCCAGTATGTGAGAGACTGACAATACAGCTGAGATGTCTCTGACGCCCTGGAGAGCAGCTGCTGAGACGCTCTTCTCATTACTTTATAGAGTAGCTGTGATCTGAGAGGCAAGGGACTGCATGCA